TAAGGATCGGCCAAGTTACCGCTCTGGGGAAAAAAAAATATTTCTATTTTTATTCATTGAAACAATTTATGTGGCTGCCCTTCCCATAAAAGCAATTTCGAGAGGTGTGCAAGTGTTAAAAGCTACAACAGTTTAACAACAGCCTTAAAGCTGAAGGCCACAAAGACAACCCACTTCATTCCAAGCAACATTAACCAAGATTATCCTCAGCACTCGTCTAATCATCCAGCCCAAAGTCCACACAACCTTGAATGCTACATAAAAAGCTAATAGGATTGGAGTCATCCTTATTTTATGTATTTCCTTTATTTATATTTCCTCTTTCTAAACTGCCCATCGTTTTCTGACTGAGGCTATCCCATAGAGCAGGTGCTGACTCAGAGAAGGATCAACTCTGGATTCTAAGATCACAATGTCAGGATTACGACACTTAACCCCATTCAAATCATGAGTTTCTAGCCAAACTCCCAAAGGATTTATTGGGAGTTAAAAGATGCAGCATTGCCTGGGTGTAGCTGATTCTGAGGAACATCATTCATTGTCACCCTTGACCCTGGTTTCCCCACAAGCCCTGGGTGTATCGTAATTCATACTCTCCAATAGCCAAGAGTCATCAATCATGCTCTCCAGTTAGAAATTTCCACGGCAGAAACTTCAATCATCTAGAAACTATCTTTGAAAACATTTATGGAATGCAAGCTGCCCACTGCTTCCCCCTCCCTTTCTGTTGGCAATTCTAAAAGACCACAGAAATATTTTATGAGTGAACACACAACTTACGCACACGTTGTCCTTGGCTTATAACTGTAGATCACTGTGCCACTCCTTGAACCTTCTTTAGATGGGGCTCCTCAACTGCAACGCGAAGTATTATACCTTGGATTTAGGTCATGGAGCTACTGTGGTACTTTCAAATCAACATGGGATTCAGAGAAGAAGCAGAAGTCAACTTTGGAGCAGCAGGTTTGCTCCTGTTGTCACTGAAATTTAGAACAATTTTTGCACTCAAATAAGGCAAGGAACTGGGTGTGATGTGAGAACTGCAGGTTGCCCCGTTGCTGCTTTAGGGCATCATATGCACCTGGCCCATGTGGCTTTTAGTGAACAAAACCTGGTCAACTCTTGTGATATGCAACCTCCGCATTTGCACAGGAGCCTAGTGTAATTTCCACCCAGCAGTCTAAATAAGGGTCAGCAGCTGTTCCCAACACAGAAGATGGTGTAACTGTCAATATTCCTCAGGTAACAAAACCGAACAAGCTAATTCGGCCCCACAAAATATAGATGAACAAGAGCTTCCAGGTTGTCAAAAAAAGAAAAAAAAACCAACCCTTTCCACTCCCTGTAGGTGGGTGGGAGTTTTGTTTTCCGACACCACTTTTTTTAAAAAAAAATATCTCATGCTCTTTCTGTCTCAGGAAGAAATCTGTGGATTCTCACAAATTCTAATCAGGAAAAGAATAAACAGAGTTCACATCTGTTTCCCCAATCTCACTCTGAGTTATACTTACTCCCATTTTAATAAGGCATGTGTCCAATGGTAGGACAGTGTTTGCAAAAGTGAAAGCCTGATTGAATCAAAAGATTTATTGCTCCACAAGCTTTTCTCAAAAGAAATTTCTGCAGTAGAAATGGAAGCAGAAGGAAAAGGCAGAAAGGAGGAAAGACAAGCAGGAGGGGAACATGAGGGGATAGAGGAAGGAGGAGGAAGAGTAGAAGTAGGAGGAGGAGGAGGAGGAGGAGGAGGAGGAAGAGGAAGAGGACGACTGTGGGGTCTTTGTGAGACTCAAGGCCTATCTGCTGGCAAGGTCAAAAATTCTACAAAAGCTTCCTTTCTCTAGCGTTGCTCTAAAGGCAGCTGCCAGGGCATCTGATAGGGCTTGGCCAAAACTCTGACCTTGCAGGCCATGTTGGGTTTCAAGTTGAAAAACTGATATTTGTTGGTGGCAACTCGGACGATGTCGAATTCCTCTTCGTTGAGGAAGATGATGTGACTATAGTTGCTGTTCGTGGGGAGCCAGGTAATCTCTGCCGAAATCTGGCTGATATTGACGACCTTAAGGTGTGAGGGTGCCACAATGACATCTTTCCCAACCAACAAGGTGCACTGCAGTTCGTCGGAATTGCCCTGGCTGGTTATACTTTGAACGGATATCCGATAAGTGCAAGTAGCGATGGTCAATTTTTCTATCCCCCTCCTGTCTTACTGCTTTGCCCAGGAGACTGGCACCCCACCCGGCTCCATTTTTTTTTTTTTTGCCTTCCTGGACCCCAGGGAAGACTTCTGTGATGACCCAAAGTGTAACACAAACGTAACAAAATCCAAAACGTAAATAAATATCCTTTAATGCCTCCAACTTGGCCTCACTGTTCAATAATTCTCAGTTGTAGATAAAACGTACTCAAAAATAGTTTTCAAAAGAAAGCAATACAGTCCGAACTTGATGAGCAGATAGAGGGGAAATAAAAAACCTAACAAACTACAGTGATGAAATTTCCAAAACGGAACAAAAGAAATATTTACCAAATTCAAGGAGATAACAAGGCACAGTCTGTTGGAAGGATGCCAACCAAGACAACTTCAGCCCAAAATAAAACACACTTTGTTTCTGGCAACACTGTAATTGCCTCTCTTATATACTCGACTCCCCAGCTGCCACCAATGAAGGGGATCATGGCCGCTTCCTCTCTCGTAAGCCAAGTTGTTTCCTTCTCTGTTCCTCCCTGGGTGTCCTAGGATGCAGAAGGGTTGGGCCTGGTTCTTCCTCTGACTGCCCAGCCAGACTCTGTCCTTCCCAGCCACCTCCACAACCTCTGGAACCACATCTCCACTCCCTGTCGGCTGTCCCGCCTCTCCCTCAGAGTCCGACTTTAACAAGGGCGTGACATCTTCTGAGAGCATAAACGCCGCCCTAGCAGGCTCCCGAGGCCCAGGAGGCCCCAAAATGGAGCATGCCCCCCTTGCCATGCCCACAGAACTGGTTGTTAAAATTTGAATCCCACCCGTTTGCGACCTTCTTGACAAGCAAAGTCAATAGGGAAGCCCGATTCACTTAACCATGTTGCTAATTTAACACCTGCTGGGATTCCCTTAACCAAGGCAGCAAGGAAAAAAAAGTCGTAAAACGGAGCAAAAACTCCCTTAATCCATTTCTTACTTGACAACATACAGTTTGGGCTCAGTTGCAGCCATAGGTGGAGGACTTACCTCTTTGTGATTTTTTTTTTCCCATTTCAAACGGAGTCACAAGCTACGGGCCTCTCCCAAACTGCCACCCGATAGGAGAACAGCAAATTGCACGCTAAATGTCACTGCCTTGATTTAATGCAACCGTCTGGGGAGCACAATATCACAAGCATCGTAATTTGTCATGTCAAGCCCCCATCACTTAGCACGGCTCCCTTATGACAGGATTTTCGTGATCAGCAACGTTTAGATTTTAGAAGCAAAAAAAGAGAGAGGTGGGAAAATAGGGCCAGAAATCCAAAACTGCCAGAGCAAAGAACTCTATAACTGACCTACGAAATCAAATGAATTTGTTTTATTTGGACAAAAGGAAGGTAGAGACTGAAATGGCATCTTCCCACTAAAACATAGAATTGGAAGGGACCTTGGAGGTCTTCTAGCCCACCCCTCTGTTTGAGCAAGAGATACCATTTTAGATAAATGGTCTCTTTTTGAAAGTCTCCAGTGAGGGCACACTTGCAATTTTAGGAGGCAAGGGGTTCTATTGGTTGATTGTTCTCTTTAGGAAATTTCTCCTTAATTCTTGGTTTGCTTCTCTCCTTGGTTGGTTTCCATCCATCGTTTCTTGTCCTGCCTTCAGGTGCTTTGGAGAAAAGTTTGACCCCTCTCTTCGTAGGAGCCCCTCAAATATTGGAACACTGCTATCATATCATCCCTAATTCTTTTCTTTAGACTAAACACACCCAATTCCTGTAACCATTCTTCTTAAGTTTTAGCCTCCGGCCCCCTGATCATCCTTGCTGCTCTTCTCTGTATTCTTTCCAGAATCTCAAAGTTGTTGTTTTTTTTTAATTGTGGTTGATCAAGAAAGCAGATTGATCCCAAATAAGTTTTTAAAAATAGAATTGTAATTGAAATCTCCTGCCCGATCGTACTGTTATTGCTTTATATTTTTTTTACTTTATATTGTGGCTGTTTTATTGTACTTCTATTATATTGTTGGTGGCTATGTTGTTGTTAGCTGCTGAGAGGTATAATTCTGATCGATCGACCAATATGTTGGAATCATGCAGGTAGCTTGTCAAAAAGAATCTAGTTACAGCCCAAGTCTTAAAATAAATAAAAAATTAAATCAAGGTTCTGCCACTTAAAATACTTTCTTGTAATATTCTATATTGTGTTTAACCATAGCCATGAACTATATTGAACACACCGTGTTCAGGCACAAATCATAGTTTACAAACCACAAAAGCATAATTTCATTTTTATGGGGGTTTTGGTTTAGCTGATGGACAAACCAGGCAAAAGTGGCCTGTCAACAGTCCATGGCTAAGCCAACTATAGCTTAAAATGACCCTCTATATCTATCAGTAGTCAGATCAGTACATTGTTCTACGGCAAGCTAATCAAAGTCTTCCATCCATAGTTTGCTGAACAAATTATAAATAACTCTTAGTTTCTATCAACAGTAAAAAATTTAAAAAGTATTATTTTTACTAAACCATAGTTTGTAACCAGAACATCTGCTTTTATAGCATGCTAACTCTTGGTTAACTCCTTTTTACTGAACTAACCCAATTAGATTTATACAACGTACTGACAACGTTCATATAATGGACTGAGCTATAGTTAACTGAACCGTGCCTCAAAGGTGCTTTTTCAAAAAGCAACTGGACTTTCTTTGTTTTTCCATGAAGGACTTTTTGCTTCTCATCCAAGAAGCTTCTTCAGAACTGATTTACAGGATTCCCTGGGCATTCTTTAGTTGATGTCAAATAACTGAAAAGCATCCAGGTTTACCGGTTGCAAGGCATTTTTATTACTGCAGGTTAAATACTTTTTCAGTGTGCTGTAGACAGTAGAAAAGGTACTTTTTCCATTGACCTCATTGTGTCTGAATAGCCACTTCTAGTTCTAACCCTCGTCTCAAGCCTCCCTCAACCTCCGGTGCATCTCCTTTGCATGTTGGTGGCTCTTGGCTCGGTTGGCTTCGTACTGGAAGGAAAGGAAGGCAGGAAGTGAATCACAAATAAGCCATGGCACCAACATTTAAGCTTTCAGCAAGCTTTCCTCATCATGCAGGAAAGGAATATACATGACGTGAAAGAAAACTTATACCCAAAACTGGCAAAACATAAGCAAGCAAAGAAAGATCAAACATTCTCTTTGGTTATGATTTGATTTCCGTGTTTCCTTGTTTCACTCAGTTGAGGTCGCTCTGAGCATTGAGAAAACAGGCAACAAATTTGCTCCTTTCCAAAGCCTCATTTGCTTCCCTAAGACTTCCTGTATAGTGACTTCATATGTTTCTAAACCAGAAGAACTAGGACCCTTCACTGCAAATTGAAGTATCACAGATAACAGATAACCAGAGTTTGAAAGGACCTTATAGGTCATCTAGTCCAACTCCCCACCCAAGCGGGAGACCCTACACCATTTCTGACAAATGGCAGTCCAGTCTCTTCTTGAAGGTCTCAAGTGACGGCGCTCCCACAACTTCCAAAGGCAACTTCTGTTCCACTGGTTGATTGTTCTCACCGTCAGAAAGTTTCTCCTTATTTCCAGGTTAAATCTCTCCTTGTTCAGTTTCCATCCATTATTCCTTGTCTGGCCTACAGGCACTTTAGAAAATAGCTTGACCCCTTCCTCTCTGTAGCAGCCCCTCAAATATTGGAAGATTGCTCTCCTGTCTTCCCTGGCCCTTCACTTTACTAGACTAGCCAAGCCCAGTTTCTGCAACCATTCATTGTATGTTTTAGTCTCCAGTCCTCTAATCATCCTGGTTGCTCTTCTCTGTACTCTTTCTAGAGTTTCAACATCTGTTTTGTAATGTAGTGAACAGAACCGGGTGCAGTACTCTAGGTGTGGTCTTACTAAAGCTTTATAGAGTGTTATTAGTAGTTCCCTTGATCTTGATTGTATCCCTCTGCTAATGCAACTTAGGATTGCATTAGCTTTTTTGGCTGCTGCTGCACACGGCTGGCTCATATTTAGCTAGTTGTCCACTAAGACTCCAAAATCTCTCTCCCAGTTACTGCTATTGAGCTTGGTTTCACCCAGTCTATATGTGTACTTTTGGTTTTTCTTGCCTGAGTGCAAGACTTTACTTTCCTCTACACTGAATTTCATTTTGTTAGATACAACCCAGTGTTCTAGTCTGTCAAGATCCATCTGGATCTTGAGCCTATTTTCTTGGGTGTTAGCTATTCCTGCCAGCTTAGTATCATCTGCAAATTTGCAAGATATGCAAAAAAGTATGCCAGATAGAATGCCAGAGGCAAAAAACAGGAAACATGTAAAGCTACCAAATTACTAAAAATCATAGCCGTATAATGTTTGGAGAACCAAAATGTAACAGCAGGGTAAGAGGTTATATCATTGTAGCCTTAGGTACAGGTGGCCCACAAATCCTCTCCCCAACTGATCCAAATTTTGGAAAGAGGGAGAAATGATTAGAGGTAGTCCTTGATGTATGACAGTAATGCAACCTGCCCATCGTGGTCATAAATCCTGATGGTCATAAATCCTGATGGTCATAACTCCTGATGGTCATAAATCAGGCCACCCACCTGAGCCAACCTGATTTTAACAATCTGTTTTTTGCAGTGTTTGTTAAGCAAATGCTGAAATTTGTAAGTCACCCCCAAGAAGTCTCTTAAACGGTTGCTAAGTGGCCGGTCATAAGTCAAGGACTACCTCTAAACATATGGGACAGAGTTCTAGTGCCCAATAATGAACACATTAATTACACTGATATGGCATTTAGTGAAAAGGGAAGAAATTGGAAAGGAAAGGAAACCTCTTAAACATGAGCCAGCCATATGCTGCAGCTGCCAAAAAAGCTACTGCAGTCCTGGGTTGCATCAAGATCACGAAATGTGATAACACCACTTTGTAATGCCGCTCATGGAATAGTGTGTGTAATGTGCAGAGAAGAGCAACAAAGATGATAAAGGGCCTAAATGGAAGCTAAATCGTATGCTGAATGAATGAGAGCATACGCACCAAGATAAATTCCTTGTGTGTCTAATCATATTTGGCCAATAAAGAATTCATTCATTCATTCATTCATTCATTCATTGAGGGAGCTAAGTATGTCTAGACCAGGGGTGTCAAACGTGCGTCATCACGGCAGCACGTGACAAATCAGGACTTTTTTTTCCCTTCGCTAAACTGGGCGCTGCCAGTGCGTAATGCATCCAGCCCACGGGCCGGGAGTTTGACAGCTCTGATCTAGACTATTGAAGAGGGGAGAAAGAGATAAAAGCTTGGTCTTAATTCGATTTGCTGTTTAATTATTTATTCTATCCATTTTTTTTTGTCCTTATCCAATATATTCTTGCTACAGGGCATGTCCACCATGCATGGTAATGTATTCATTGCTTTGGTTTGCATTTCCAACATTTGGATGGTCTGTTTGGGAACATTTTTGCTCATCTAGCAGGTGAGTAAGTGCCACCTGTAGAACATTTTGTACAAATTTTCTCTATATGATGCCGACATTGTCAATTTATAATTCTTTTCCCACATTTTTTCCCACTTCTCTAATTCTATGGTGTAGCCAACAAATTTTCCCCAATCATCGTTTCTTTAACCCTCTCCTCTTCCATCTTACAATCCAACAAATAATTATATGTTGTGATTGGAAGGTCCAATCCTGTTAGGAACTTTGAATCTGATGACTGTTAGATCGTGGATTGACGTCAGAACCAGGAAACGTTACTCCCTTTGGTTTGATTGTGAAATGACTGTTTGAATTTCAAAAGGGAGTCCTAATAGTTTTGAATGAAAGCTCCAGCGAGGAGGACTTGTATGAATCAGCAAGTATTAGTGATTTCAATGAAGAGGAGGAGATGAATGTTAGGACCGGCCTGAACCTTCAACCTCCTCGGCTTCTCAATCAGGTTATCAGCCGGGAACGGCTGATAATGAGGAACTTATGGAGTCTTCAGGTGAAAGTAATAATTTAGTTTGATTGCTGGGTGGATGTCAGAAGCAGGCGTCTCCTTACGAGAAGAAACCAACCAGAGCACAGGAGGAGGGCAGATCAGTAATTAGTCTAATTAGCTGCTGCTCTATAAAGGGAGAGGGATGACTCTGCAATCTGTCGGAAACAAACTGTTTGCAAGGAGAACCGAAGATTTTGGCTTGGAGGATTTAAACCTGAAATATCTTGTTGGGACTTGGATTTATTTCATTGGAACTATTAACTTGGACTATTTTGTGGAGGCTAACTACAGCTGTTATCAGTGAAGATTCCTGGTTGCTGCCTTTATTTGCGAGGACTGCTGCTTTCAGCCTTATCTGTTTATTTTGGAAGGTGGGACATAACAATTATATATATTTTTTAATCAATTTCTCCTCTGGACTTTGTAGGTAAAAGTTTATCAGTCATGTTCAACTCTAGGGCACAGTGCTCTTTCCCATTTCTTGGCCAAGGGAGCCAGCGTTGTCCAAAGACAAATATCACTGCTCTTTGCCAAAGGTTGCCCAGAATGCTCTTACCTTCCAGTCAAAGTGGTACCTATTTATCTGCTTGCACTTGCACGCTTTCAAAGTGCTAGGTAGACGGGAGCTGAGGCAAGGAATAGGAGCTCACCCTATTGCACCAAGCTAGGGTCTCAAACCCAGGCTGTCTGCTGTGCCAAATAATTACACAATTAGCATCATTTGGGTGACAACATATGATAACACCTGGCCCCAATAGATACACTTGGATGCCGGGTTTAGTAAACTGACAAGCTGACAAGATTATCAATATCCCTGTTACCAAATTTTTAAGTTACCTTACCTCTTTCCTTAGGCATTTCCTCATTTCTCTGTCAAAATCATTGCAATGGCCAAAAAATTTCAAGAAGGAATGCTGGAAGGGAAAAAGAACAAGAAAAACAATCACTTTGATGTTGTTAAAAGCGGGGGGGGGGGGGATCCAAAATAATATTCTAGAATTTCCAGTATTACTTCCCCCGTGCCAACAGTGAACCTTTTAAATTAAAGTATTCCATTATCAATCAACAAGAGAAGCAAAAATCGACATGCAACATTATTTACAACATATGTATTTTTGGATTTAAAAAAAAATTTCTTCCAAGAAAATAATAGTTGCTAAATTAAAAGGTCACTTGTTTCATCCAATTCTCTACAATGGTGGCAATTCAGAGGTGGTCTTCAGCCGGTTCTGACCAGTTCTGGAGAACCAGTAGCAGAAATTTTGAGTTGTTTGGAGAACCATCAAATACCACCTCTGACTGGCCCCGTCCCCATCTATTCTTTGCCTCCCACTGAGTCCCAGCCGATCGTCTGGGTCTTCTTTGGTTGCCCTGCACAGGAGAACAGAGCTGGAAAGCAGGTTAGTGGGGTGGGAAGAGAACGAAAATTTTGCAGTATCCTTCCCATGCCACACCCACCAAGCCATGCCCACAGAACCAGTAATAATTTTTTTTGAATCCATTGTTGTTTGTTATATGTTGAATTTTCGCTTTGGTGACATTAGCTAGCAAAGCTTGTTCTTGAGCTACTAAAGCCTTCAATTTCTTTCTTTAATATGTCAGACCTTAACCAGCTTCGTATGGGGTTTTTACTGGCTTTTCCTTCCATATCCTTTACATATTTTATTAAGGTATTGTTATTATTACACCATATAATATTTTATTATAGTATTATTACTATATTATATTATAATACTGCTATAATGTAGTATTATTACTATATTACATTTTATTATTGTATGTAGAGGACAGGGGGGTCTGGTGTACTGTGGCATTGCAAAGACTTGGACATCACTTAGCAACTGAACAAAATTATAGCATAGTATTATAGCCAATTATAGTATATTACTACTACTATCACCACTATTAATTTTATTATAGTATTTACTACTACTAAAATTATTATCCACCTATTGTTCTGGGCAACTTACAAATTCCAATACACCATTAAAAACATCAAAGTGAAGAACAGCCTGGGCGAAATCAGTCAAAACAAAAATTACATTCCCCTTTAATATTGCCCTTCAAATCCGAATCTTGGCATGGATCTAATAATTAGCTGTACAATTTCCTTTCAGTACGCCTGTAACTAACTGGAAGGGGCACGTGAAATTTGCAAATTTGCTGTTTTTAGACTGAGGTGAATTCCTGCTGGAGCTCAAAATATTTCGTCAGGTGATAGTTTCTCACATTATACTGTGAAATGGATCTACTCCAGGTAAGCTGGAGAAAATATCCAACCCAAGACAAATAAATAATAGGCATTATTGGGTCATTTTTAAGTCAAACAAAATGTCGAAATGGTTTTGTCAGATTTGGGGAGAATAAAAAACTGTAATGTACCTGCAAGAGGTAAATCTTGCAAAATTCGGGAGAAATGCAACTCCAGTTCTACAGCATAAAGACTTTTTTCTTTTTCGCATTAATTTGAAATATAGCTGATAAAGATGTTTAATCCAGGATCGACAACTGAATAAATAATTCCAGAAGCTCAGGAAGGATTTTGCTTTTTTAAAAATATTGCCTATCCACCCTCCAGTCAAAGAACATTTGACTAAATAGCCATTTTTAGCCACGCAATACAAGAATTTGCTTTTTTAAAAATATCAGTGAGAATTTGGGAGTTTCTGAAGTTATGTTTGAATTCTTTGTTTGGTACAAAAGACAGAAGTTATTGAAAAGACAGGAAGCAGTTGGCAATTCTATTGCCTTCAGTCTGGATAGGCTAACATTTATGCATGCATTATCACAATGGAAAACACAATTCATGGAAACAGAAGTTTTCGTTGGTTTCAACCAGTCCTAAGCACCACTGGTACCAAGAACACAAAAGCCCAAAACAAAGCATTCTTGTTGAGAATGGGAAGTATACAGAGGATAAAAACTTTTATTTACAAAAGGAAGGACGAAGGAAGAATATTTTCCTCCTCTCTTCTCCCTGGACCCTTCAAAAAATATTTTCACAAGTGCCGAGGAAGGTAAATTGCATATAATATTTCAAGCATACTATCCTTTTTAATTCCTCTCAATTCCTGGCAAATAGATAGGAGAGAGATTGAGGTAGTGACAGATTTTATTTTCCTGGGCTCCAAGGTCACCGCAGATGGGAACTGCAGCCAAGAAATTAAAAGACGCTTGCTCCTGGGGAGGAAAGCTATGGCAAATCTAGACAGCACACTAAAAAGCAGAGACATCACCCTGCCATCAAAAGTGTGTAGAGTCAAGGCTATGGTTTTCTCAGTTGCAATGTATGGTTGTGAAAGTTGGACCGTAAAGAAGGCTGAGCACCAAAGAATGGAGGCCTTTGAACTCTGGTGCTGGAGAAGAAGATTCCTGTGAGTCCCTTGGACTGCAAGGCGATCCAACCGGTCAGTCCTAGAGGAGATCAACCTTGACTGCTCTTCAGAAAGCCAGATCCTGAAGATGAAACTCAAATACGTTGGTCACCTCATGAGAAGGAAGGACTCACTGGAGAAGAGCCTAATGCTGGGAATGATAGAGGGAAAAAGAAGAAGGGGACAGCAGAGAATGAGGTGGCTGGATGGAGTCACTGAAGCAGTCAGCCTGAGCTTAAATGGACTCCAGAAGATGGCAGAGGACAGGAAGGCCTGGAGGAACATTGTCCATGGGGTTGTGATGGGTTGGACACGACTTTGCAACTAACAACAACATCCTTTTTCAAAACCCCAGTTCTGGGCATACAGTATATTAAGATAATGAGATGCTATGGGTCTTGCTGGACCAGCCATTCCTAAAACTGGTCCCAAAGACGGTTAGAAAGAAAATTGCCCTTGGTTCTTCTAACATTGGTTATAACTGTCAGTGGGGAGGAAAGGTATTGGAAGAATTTATACAGCAACCAAAAGGAATTTTTTGGAGACTGCATTTGTCTTTCCACCCCGTGGAAACAAAGGGCTCTTAAGACTCTAAGCTTAGTTCCGTTGAGAACGAAATCAAAGCTTCAAGGACTTCACAAGGGTACCTCACCCTCATGTGACTTCCTGCTAAAGGTCTGGGACAAATCTTTGTTTACAACCACAATAAAAAGCCACACTGTTCAAGCAATAAAGAAGTTGTAAGAGGGGGAATTTACATACAAAGGAGTACAAATTTACAAAGGAAGCAATTTCTTTTTAATCACAAATATTCATTTTTTTCAGAAAACCCTAAATAATTAAAACACTACCTTCATGGGTGTCTGTTGGTCCCTTGTCTGTCTGTCTATTTATCTATACCTGTCTATCTCTGTCTATTTATCTGTATTTATATACGTCTATCTCTATGTATCTATATCTGTTTATTTGCCTATTTATCTATATCTATTTATCTACCTATCTCTCTGTCTGTCTGTCTATCTATCTATCTATCTATCTATCTATCTATCTATCTATCTATCTCCATCTATTCATCTCTATATATCTATATCTAATCTATATCTATATCTATATTTATAACTATAACTATATCTAGAATAGAATAGAATAGAATTCTTCATTGGCCAAGTGTGGTTGGACACACAAGGAATTTGTCTTGGTGCAAATACTCTCAGTATACATAAAAGAAAAGATACATTCATCAAGAATCATAAGGTTATCTATCTATCTATCTATCTATCTATCTATCTATCTATCTATCTATCTATCTATCTATCTATCTACCTACCTACCTACCTATCTATCTACACACCAACACCCACAGCATATGACTTGGCATGTATAATGTTAATATATTGTTGTCAATGTGATATCACAGGTAGTCTTTCTCTCTTTAACCAAAGCTGTTTTGTGTCAAAATACTATGAAACAAGGAGCAACATAAACCACTATCCTGGTCAGGTATAAGTATGGCTAATTTTGTACCTAAAAGGTACCTAGCCTCCAATGCACAAAATGATGTGATTCTACATGAATATTAATACAGAGAAGGGTTCTCTTGCAATCAGGGACAGGCAAGGATGTTCCCACAGATGAAATCATCCCAAGCTTGGGGGAGGAGTGGAAAAGCTCTTAGTTATTGAGTAAGGCATAATTAGGAAGAGGAAGAAGCATCTCATTGCTGAAAGAGAAAAGCTGCAATCACTGAGAGATGCAAGTGAGACAATGGCCATTGCTACAACAGGCACGTGAAAACAGATCTCTTTAGTGACAGCTTTACCATATTTGAAAATTTGGAGCTTATTAACAGGCAGAAAGGAAAAAGAAGACATTACTCTCATCATTTGGAAATCTCTAAGGAGCTACAAGAGAGTAAGAGTCATACTACTAGGACTCAAAGACTGAAAAAAATGCTATCTCCCAATTCTCTATATCTCAACTCTCTTAACTAAGATTGAAGCAAAGTTCAACTATAAACCATGATTGTGGAACCTTTTGGCTTGGCTGGGCTTCATTGAGTGAAGACGAATTGCCTTCGGCCACATATAAAATACATAGTTAATATACATAAACTATAAACTTCCTTTATTCTTCAAATATTTTTATTTGTATACAGTATAAAAGTAATAAAAATATTAAATATTTAGTAACTTTATACTATGGGTCCGCAGTAGTAACTATCCAGAGTCACATACAGCCTTTGGGCTATGGGTTGGACACATCTAATTTAAACTCTGTATTGGCTAGGGATACAAAGAAAGGGAGACTGTAACATTAAAAAGTATTTTACCTTTTTTTTTTTGCTGTTTTCAAACTTTAGTTATTTTGTTCTTTTTTCTACTTTCTTTATATTTAAGTATTTTAATATATGGGGAAGGAAGGAGGGAAGAAAGAAAAGAAAAAGGAAGGAAGGATACAGGGGAGAAGAGAAAGAGAAAAGAAAGAAGTGAATGAGAGGGACAGGGAAGGAAGGAAGGAAGGAAGGAAGGAAGGAAGGAAGGAAGGAAGGAAGGAAGGAAGGAAGGAAGGAAGGAAAAAATTAGCTGTATTTAAATCTGAGAAGAAAAACTAAAAGCAGATATAACTGTCTCTAAACACACGCAGTGTGTTCCACAAACACACTTACACACGTATACACAGAAAGGTTATAATCCTCTATTGCCACACAAGACAGTATTGAGAATAACAGTTTTGAATTACCAAAAGGCATTTCCCCACTCCCTTTCAGAAGAAAGATTTCTCAATGTTCCAGTCCAAGAACAATTTTGGCCACGCCCCTTAAGAGAAATAGAAGCAGTTTTGTGTCTTCTCCTGCAATGCCCTTTTTATATGACATTGAATTAATAACTTCTGACTCATAACCAGCCAAGACTGGACAAGGGGCTCACTTGTTCCCTCTCAGCTGGCAGCTCAGTAAAGATTTCTTGAGGAGTTGTCAAATTTCTTGTGATTATTATGGCAGAAAGACAATTAATTGTTTAGCAAGCTTGGTCATTTTTCCCCCCTCAAAACATTTATAATAAGAATCTGACCATCTGTCTCCCAGCACTTTTCCTGGTTTAATCTTTTTTACAGCTTCAGAATCTTCCTCTATTGCTACAGGTCTATTCATAATCTCTCTCTGCTCCTTGGTAATCCTCGATAACTTTTGTTTCTTTAGAGGTTCATCTATTTTCTCCACAGAGACATCACTTGCTTTATACAAGTTAGGATAACATGATGAAATGGTTTTTCATGGCCACACTATCCATTAATATGGTGTCTCATAGTTCGGGAGGGAAATCTTTTTTTTTTCCTTTCGTAATTTATATGCCAAGCTTCCCTTTTTATTTACTTTATTTGCATCCGCCTTTATTATTTTTAGAAATAAGGTGGGGAACATATCCAACATATCTTCTTCTTCCAATTTTTCCCACAACTGAGGTGAGTTCGGCTGAGACAGAATCAATCACCTGGCTTTCATGGTTGAGGTGGAACTAGAACTCGCTGCCTCTTAGGATTGGCTGAAAATGACCCAGCAAGCTTTCATGACTAAGGCAGGACTAGAACTCACCGTCTCCTGCTTTCTAGCCTGGTGCCTTAACCGCTTGACCAGGTCTGATTTTATAGACCTACTTAATATCCTCCACCCCACATTCATTTTCCTTGCACAAGGGAACCAGCTTAGCATCTAGGCATGTGGAGGCAATGTGTAAACAACAAACCCTGTTGTAAAGATATTCCTAGCAACATTGTGTGTGCTCTTGAGGGAGCAAGATGCAGGAAGAACTCTCTAGGAAAAATTATCTGTAGCACGGTGTTACCAACAAAAGTCAATCTTGTCTAAGAACAGGATCACAAGGTAAGGCTCTTATCAGTAGAGATAGTGTAGCATCCTGGATTTCTCTCATAGTCTTACCTCCTTGTGGCACTTTTGAAGTTGACGGATGAGAATATTACACTCTTCAGTATGTAGGTGAGGTGACAAGTTCGGATGCATCACAAGTTAGGAACCGCTCATCCAAAAGAAAAGAAAAAAACCTTAGGCTTTTCCTCCTGTCAATATTACGATATAAATTGTGCTTAATGTCATGCCATCTTATTCTGAACACATTTGTTGAGGAAGAGCAATATTATTGGAACAAAGACACGGCTGCAAAGCATTTGTGCATGAAGTTGACCTTGACCCGACAACACATTCTACCAGCTTCCTGGGGTATGAAAGGTACTCCTCAGTCGACTCCAAAGCAATGGAAGAACCGGCTTATAGTCATTCAGGAAATACAGACAAGCTTTTCAAATGGGATTGATTTAAAGGGTGACCTAATCCAGCCAACTTTCTGGAAAGTCTCAAAAATTTGCTGAAACAACAGTTCTTTCTGGATAAGTTCCACTTATTAACCACTTCAGTATATAGTATGGCATGACCTGTCCAAGGTCCTGATATTCTTCTTTTAAAGACCACATAAAACAAAGCCCATGCCTTCCAGTAAGTTTCTCTATTGTAGACTGGGTCCCTTGAGATATTTGAACTACCTAGAACAGAATACAGCTAGAAAAAAAAAAAACAGAATAAGATTGGGGAACCTGTGTCCTTAGGGCCAGATTTACTTGTAATCTTACAAACTTGGAGGGATCCATAAAGATTCCAAGTCTAGCTTGATAAACTTGATAAACAGTCTTCCAATATTTAAGGTAAACAGTCTTCCAATATTTAAGGATCTACCACAAAGAAGAGGGAGTCAACATATTCTCCAAAGCACCTGAAGGCAGGACAAGTAGCAATGGATGGAAACTAATCAAGGAGAGATCCAACCTAGAATTAAGGAGAAATTCCCTGACAGTGAGAATAATTAACCCCCCCCACCCAACTTGGCAGAAATATATGAATTTTTGAGGGAGGGGAAATAGCTTATTTTGACTGAGTGGGCTCTGTGACTAATGAAATGCAGATAAAACAAATCAACTGAACCCATTATAGCTAAAAGTATGTTTTCTAATGCTCTTTGAGAAGCTGGTTTAAGTATTAGTTCTTTATGCAGGGATGTAGAGTTACTTACAGATTCCAATGATTGTTTTAAATGACATAGGTCATTCAGATGGCTGAAGTTCTATACGTGATCTTAAACTAGGTTGTGGTGTGCATTGTATTAATGTCTTCCTGTGCTATTTTACTATTTTGTACTATAGCTAGTTACAAGCTCATAAAAAGTAAAAACTGATAAATTGTTATTCCACACTGCAAGCTTTGTTCTCCCTCATTATAATTTTATTGTTGGCTAACCTTCCCTGCTATTCCCATTATTAGTTACTAAAAAATCCTGAAAACAGGCAGATCTAAATTTGTTCTCAGGGATAAATAACAGTCACAGGACCTAAAGATCAACTCGGCTCATGCCACCAGATAAATAACTAACTTTACAGCCAACCGTTTTACAGGAAATACTCACTTTTCAGGGACTTCAGGTAAGAACAAATCAAACAAGCGACCGATGGGCCTTTATGCCTGAAAAATGTCAACATTAACATTTACCTGTGAGATCTGCAGCACCCATGATACAGTTCTCCTGTTTGGAAATGTCACAAAGCCAATAGGCAATATTTATGGTCCCAGGATTAAATCACATTAGATTAATAACTGAGGCTTGAGAAAAGAGGAGGGAGGAGGAAGGAGGGAAAGATATACACGTTTCAACTCCCATCAGCCTCGGCTAGGATGGAAAATGGCAAGGAATATCTGGAAGGTTGTTTGTTTGTTTGTTTGTTTGTTTGTTTGTGTAATTTTTATCTCACCTTTAGCCAGAGTTATCCAGCTGATTTTTTTTTTCTTGCCTAAGGTGGAACTAGAACTTACCAGCTCCTGGTGATTGGCTCAAAATCATCCAGTTGACTTTCATGCCTAAGGTGGGACTAGATCTCACAGCCCACTGGTGACTAAACCGAGGTCACCTAGCCAGCTTTTGTGCCTAAGGTGGGAGTGAAACTCGCAGTCGCCTGTTTTCTAGCCTGATGCCTTAAGCATCTATACTATACCATAACTGGCTCTTTATTCCTTTTTATATCCTCTAATCCAGTCTTGGCAAGAAAATGAAAGAGGGAAAAAAAGGTTGGGACCAAGTGACGGGACTACAAGGTCTGCAGTTTTGTATTAAAGAGAACTCGTTCTGCACATTTCCAAAATTATTCTGAAATGCTTTGGCCTTGGGCAAGCAGAACCCCACTCTGTTATTTATTCTAGGAGCCCAACCTCACCCAGGCTACCCATGAAGCTGAAAAAATGGTACTACTTTTAAAGTTCTCTAATGCTAAGGAATGGGTTTATTTAAAGCAGCGGCATTTTCTTCACGCACAAAATGGGCTCCTTTAAAATGAAGAGTAAAAAGATGCTAAGCTCGAGTAAAGTCTAAAGCACCCTTTAGAACCATGGTGGTGCGGTGGTTAAGGGGCAGTATTGCAGGCTAATTCACTGCCCACTGTCATGAGTTCGATCCTGATGGGGCTCAAGGTTGACTCCACCTTCCATCCTTCTGAGGTCGGTAAAAAGAGGACCCAGATTGTTGGGGGCAATAGGCTAACTCTGTAAACCGCTTAGAGAGGGTTGTAAAGCACTGAGAAGTGGTATATAAGTCTAAGTGCTATTGCTATTGCTATCCTTTCCTAATAATTCCTGTATGCCAACCCCTATTAGATGACTCCACAGATTGCAGTCTCCATTTGAGGTTTGTGTGTGTCCACATGTCCATGTAAAAGGCATGTAGAGAGTTGCATGCTGCTCCTGCATGTTTGGAAGCAAAATTTATGAATAAAAACTGTTCAGAAAAAATGTGATGTTGGCGGGATAGATATCAGTAACACGGAACTGTAGTTATGCAGCACCTAAACACAAAAATAGTGCAACCCCTGGATAAATAAGAGCACAAATAAGTTAGTAAGCTTACATGATGAAGTTGTAAAGCTATTACTATGGGGAAAATGATAAGGAGAAATTCCATTTCTTAAATGGCTCCTCTAGTATGTTTGCAAGTTTGGCACACTTCTGATGAGCAACTGGCCAAGATGTCAATTAAATGATTTACTGGAAAACAAACGGTTGTATGTGCTTGTTCCTTGTTGATGGATTGCAGGATTAGTAAATGAGTTAGTCAAACTCATAAATAACTCAAAGCTACTTAGAGTTTTCCTTATTATTTGATTCAAGGGTAGCTGAATCTACATGGAAACTGACTTGTTTTCCTTCACTTTCAAAAACAAAAAACCAGGAAGCAAATATAACCTAGGCTTCTTGGTTCTGCCTCTAATCTGAGAATAGAAAACCTGTTTGGTTTGGTGAACCTGTCTTGAGCTTGGAAAGCATGTCATAGATGCTCTCATAAAAGAGCTGCTATCATGGAGACAAATCAATTCACAAGCTGGCATTTTGTGTGGTATTGTTCCCTTTCATCTTTTCTAGTCTCCTCACTCAAGATGTTCTCCCAGCACAGATCTTCCTTTCCTTGTAGGCAAGTAGATCCAATTCTAAACAAAGTGTAGAAACCTTTTAACAACCCAAAATTGATCCCTGATTAGAGTCATCTGAACTAGGAAATAGTAAAGGGATCAATTATTGCCTGGGCAAAAAATGTAGGGCATAATATAAATTTAGAGGATTGGGAAAAATGTGGATTGATAACTGTAAATTGACATTGTCAACGGCATTTAAAGAAAATCAATATAAAATGTTTTGTAGGTGGCACCTAGCGCCAGCAAGATTGGCCAAAATGTATCCAAACACAAAAGCAGAATGTTGGAAGTGTAAACATAAAGAAGGAACATTCTTCCATATGTGGTGGCAATGTCCAGAGGTTAAAAAATATTGGATGAGGGTACAAAGATGGTTATTAGAAATTACAGAGCACAAATTAGAACTTGAACTGGAAATATTCTTATTAGGAATAATTAAGGAAAAATTGAGCAAGGTCATCCGATACATCATTATACATATCATAACTGCGGCGAGAATAGCCTTCGCACAGGGATGGAAGAAGGAAAAGATACCATCTGAAGATTTGACACAAAAAACAATAGATTGTGTGGAACTAGATAAATTCACAATGGAATTTAGAGGCAAAGATGATTCGGACTATTATGTGGTTTGGGATAGGTGGTACAAATGGGTGGAGGATAGAAATAAGAACTGATATTTATGTATAAAAGAAGAGGCATGTATTAATAACGACACAAACACTGTTAATGTGAATAGAGATTTGTATTTTTGTTTTTTAAAAATAAAATATTTTTTTTAAAAATAGAGTCGTCCGAACTAGTTTGTCTGATGAGCCTGAACGTTGTAAAATAACTTCCTACAGTCCATATAGGATTGAAGCTTCTAGCATGGACAACTGCATCCTTCCCTTGCTTATAGAGACATCATAACAGAATAGAATAGCAGAGTTGGAAGGGACCTTGGAGGTCTTCTAGTCCAACCCCCTGCTCAAGCAGGAGACCCTATAGCATTCCAGACAAGTGGTTGTCCAGTCTCTTCTTAAAAATCTCCAGTGATGGAGCATCCACAACTTCTGAAGGCAAGTTTTTTCACTGATTAATTGGTCAGGAAATTCCTCTTTATGTCTACGTTGATTCTATCCTTTATTATTTTCCATCCTTTGTTTCCTTTCCTGACCTTCTGATGCTTTGGAAAATAAGTTGAGCCCCTCTTCATTGTGGCACCCCCTCAAATATTGGAACACTGCTATCATGTCTTCCCTGGTTCTTCTTTTCTCTAGATTAGTCATACCCAATTCCTGAAACTATTCTTTGCATGTTTTAGCCTCCTGCCCCCTAGTCATCTTTACTGCTCTTCTCTGCACTCTTTCTAGAGTCTCAACATGTTTTCTGTATCGTAGTAACCACAGCTAGATGCAGTATTCCAAGTGTGGTCTTATCAAGGGATTATAATGAGTTAAATAAGGAAATGATGCCTTGATTTACGCTCAACTATTGAGCTGCTCTATTTCCCAATGCCAAGTTCCTCTGTCGTCCTGGCTCGAAAGAACAAAAAGGTAGACTTGGAAAACTTAAAACGGATGGTAGCCAACAGTGGAGGGTTTCAAGATACTTCGTTTCTCCCCATACTCTGATGTTGAACCAACCTAATGCAGGATTACCTTGATAAACAATCATATCATTGTAGGGTTGAGCCATGCTTTGGTTTCAATTCCAAGCTGATGCTTTGCAGCCTGCAAGGATGTGTGTTTTGTGTGTGTGTGTGTGTGTGTAACCCCTGTCTGCAATGTTCTTGAAAGCGGTCCCACTGGCATATTTTTTTTAAAAAAATGGCAGCTGGATGCAGCCCAGAGCTTTCATTTAAAAATGGGCCCCCTGCCTGAAATAGAAAGCAAATCTTAGCTAGGATAATACAATCCTTGATTGGGAGGGGTGGGAGCAGAGCACAGAGCTTAATTCCTAGTGATGACATAAATTTATCCGTTCGATTTTCTTGCCAACAGTACAGAAGAGGATTGCAATTGTATTCTTCTGATTTTTTTTTTATTTTTCATTTACTTCCAGTCTAGTCTGTAACCTTGAAATTTTCTGATAATTTCCTGTCCAGCTATGAACTATGCTCAGTTCTGTTTAGCTTTGAAGCCGAAAGGTCCTGCTGTCCATTAAGAGCAGCTTTGGGGAAATAGGAAGAGCATTTCCCAACATGTCTCCTACATCTATGGATTATGGCTGTTAAAATTACAGCACCTGCAGTAGATCACGTTGGGAGCATTCGAGCTGCTTTTGAGCCAACTGGCAAGAGTCTTCCTTCTGCTTTTAGGGCTGAGGAAATCATTTACCCAGTAAAAGAAGTTCCTGTGAGCAGGAAACAAGTTATAGCCATTCTCTGGGAAGAAAATTATTTCTGTGCTTATTCATTTTTTTCTTATTGTCATCACACCTGGACTGGAAGGTTTTTTTTTTTTTAACGTGACTGAATTCTTTTCCTTTTACGCCACTAACAAATTAATATACAAATAGCCACAAGGTGGCGAAGCAGCAAGCAAAACAGACTATCCATTGCCCTTTTCTTGTAAGTATTAATATATAAACGGTGTAAAAATAATAATTCTACTTGAATAAGAAGCTTAAAATGCCAGTTGTCCTGTTTTATGCATATACACATTTTTTGTCAAGATTATTTGATCCCTTACAAAATGGTACCATATCAAAAACTTTATGTTCAGCTATAACGTAAGACTATTTATGGCCTAAATTCTGTGACAAAAATGACACCTTCACAGATGCTTCCCTAGAGCATGCTGCACAGAGTAATCAGGCTTTTTTCCTGCAATATATGATTCCTTCAAGCTATATTAGTAGTAAGCATCTTAGAGAAAAAATGTCTTTCTAATTCACAATTGAGATATAACAAAACACCAATATGATTCAAATGATGCATGAAATCTATTTCGACATTTGCACAAACAAAAGAATTAAAATAGAAAAAGCACAGTAATAAAGAGTGCTTTTATTCTAATGTATTTGGTGGCAAACACTACTTTTAGGATTCAATATTTCGGCTACAAAGTTGTATATCAATAACGAAAATGAAGAAATCTACTCAGAAATTTGAAATCTAAAGCTGCTTTTCTTTATTTGTTTATTAAGAACTGAGGAAATGGCGCTGCCTTAGGAATCTAACATACAGAGCCAAATCATCCTATTCCCAGACTTTTTAAATGGAGTAATAGTGGCTCTTCACAATATGGTCAGGCTCTTTCTAAAATCTACCTAAGGACTGCAGGATCAAGTTCAGGATTAGCTATAAGCAAAGCATGTAGGGGTCCTCACTTAATGACCAGTTACTTAGTGACCCTTCAAATTACAACAGAAACCAAAAGGTATCACCTCAATGGCCATATGTGCTTGGCAACTGGCTCTCCTGTACAACCGGTTACAGCATTCCATTGTTACGTGATGCAATTCACAACATTCCAGCAAAAACACCATTGAAATGCATTGACTCACGTAACAACCATGGCATCCTGCCACAAAAAAGATTGTAAAATTGGATCAGTCACTTGGGTGTCTTGACTTATAATCATCATGTCTTATGATGGAAACTCTGGCCTTCATTGCCATCACTAGTCAAGGACCAACTGTATATATTATGAAAAATAATTTTCCCTTCTGAGTAAATATGAATAGGATTGCATTGCAAATCCATCTGTGTTGGTAAAGTAAATTTAAAGTTCCTTCAACCCAACTTTATTCTCAATGATGTTAATCTGCTGCCTGAAAGATACATCAGTCTTAATATTACTAAAACAGACGAATATAATGCCCATGTGCTTTGTTCTGCAATTTTATATACAGTATCTTCAGTTGATTGATTTATATTCCCACCTTTCATTTCAAGGATGCCTTCTACAGTATAATAACAATACATTCCCCAAACAAATATTTACAACCCAAAACAATTGTTCTACTAGTTCAGCTTTCAAAATGGGTCACAATCTCAGAGAACAGAAGACTGCTTTTAAATTTATTTCGCTGCTGGAAGAATAGATTATTGAAATTTTAGAGCAAGAGTCTTCAAACTTGGTAAGTTTAAGACTTGTGGACTTCAACTCCCAGAATTCCTGAGTTAACATGACTGGAGGAGGAATTCTGGGAGTTGAAGTCCACAAGTCTTAAAGCTGTCAAGTTTGAAGACCCGTTTTAGAGTCTAGCTCTCAAAATCTGCCTAAGCGCCTGACATCTAGATATGATTGTCTGAAAATATAGCAAAGTGATCACCCAAGACAGAGGAAGGGAGAATAATATCTTACTTAAGAGAAGAAAACCCATAAAGGCTACACTTATTTAAAAATTTACTCCCTAGTATTATTTAATACTGATGGCTGATGGGCATGCAATGGGGTCCACAAAGTTTCAATGACAAATATGTCCAATTACCTAATTTGATTCATTTTTTTAATAGATAAATCACTAAACACAAGAAAATCAGCAGTATCTAAATCCAGTTAGCACTTAGCTCCATCATTTCTTTTTTTAGGAGTGACTGTGATCATTTTAAATAGTACTAGTCATCAAAAAAGTACAACAAAGAATGTTCTTTCTGCGCCAACTCAGAAAGCTCAAACTGCCCAAGGAGCTGCTGATCCAGTTCTACAGAGGAATGATTGAGTCTGTCATCTGCACCTCTATAACTGTCTGTTTTGGTTCTGCAACCCAACAAGACAGACACAGACTTCAGAGAGTAATTAGGACTGCAGAAAAAAACAACTACCAACCTGCCTTCCATTGAGCACCTGTATACTGCACGGTCAAAAAAGAGGGCTGTGAAAATATCTACAGACCCCTCACATCCTGGACATAAACTGTTTTAACTCCTACCCTCAAAACAACGCTATAGAATACTGCACACCAGAACAACTAGAACAAGGACAGTTTTCTTCCCAAATGCCATTACTCTGCTAAACAAATAATTCCCTCAACACTGTTCAACTATTACAAAGTCCGCACTAATATTACTATTAATGTTCTCATCACTCCTTATTACCCATCCCCTCCCACTTAACTGTATGACTGTAACTTTGTTGCTTGTATCCTAACGATGTATATTGACTGTTTCCTAGTATGATTTGATTGCTTATTTGTACCCTACAACTATTATTAAGTGTTGTACCTTATGATTCTTGACGATTGTGTCTTTTCTTTTATGTACACTGAGAGTATTTACACCAAGACAAATTCCTTGTGTGTCCAACCACACTTGGCCAATAAAAAATTAAATTAAATTAAATTATAATCTAATCTAAGTACACTGAGAATGTATGCACCAAGACAAATTCCTTGTGTATCCAATCACACTTGGCCAATAAAGAATTCCATTCTATTCTATTCTATTCTATTCTATTTGAAAAGAAATCTCTTTATCTTGCTGGGAGGCCATTTGCTCTACACAAAACTTTTCTTTTTCACCTTAATCAATGAAGTTATAAAGGGATCTTCACCTTTTTTTCCCGTTAAACTCTGCATCCCCTAATATATATTTGGAGGATAAGCAACCTGGTGCTTTCCAGGAATCCTGGACTACAAATCCCCAAAACCCTAGCTTGATTATGACTGGGGATGATGGGAGTCATAATGCAAAACTCTGGAGAAACAAGGGAAATTTTTTAGAACATTTATTCAACTAGATTCGACGCCCACACATATAATTCAGTTATATAACTTGCTTTTATAGGAAGTTTTATATAGAGACATATAAATCATTACTATTATTCTTCTCCCTCATATTTACCTCCCTCAACTGAACTTGCACTCACGGCTTTTTAATCTCTTTTTTAACAGCTAGTAAAAAATTACCTAACGCTGAAATAGAAAGTTAAAATAGCTTACCAGGAAGTGCGTAACCCGGAAGCGAACGCTCATCCATCCGGAAGTTATTCTTAGTTAACCTTTCGTCACATGCCGAGGTGTATTCCTTTCTCCCCCGCCCACTCCAACCGGGCGCAACGACGGAGGTGGAGCCTTCCAAAGCGTCACCCAAGCACATAATGTCGCCGGCTTGGGGAGGAGTCGCGTCGGGATTGGCTGATTGGGCGCGGAGGAGGTGGAGGCAGATTGGGCAATTTGAAAGGGAGGGACCTTTCAGTCTGAAGGCGGCGATTGGGTGGTTCGAATGGGCGTTCGGGCGGCAAATGTCCTGAGGAGAAAAAAGGAGACCGCAAAATGGCCCCGAAGAGGCGGCTGAGGAACAGCGACGGGCAGGATCCCCCGTCGAAGTGAGTCGCAGCAACGGGAAGGAGGACTACCACCAATCCCGAAATGGCTAGCGTCTAATTTTTTTTCCCCTCTATACATTTCGGGTGAGGGTGGGGGAGTTTCTTCTCGTCCTCGCAACGACCCTGCGAGGTCGGCCGCTGCTTGTTGCGAGAAAGGCTGAAGCCGCATTGGCGGCTTGCCGCTTTCTACGTGGGGCGACTTTCTCTGGGAGACAGATGTGGAAATTTTTTAATTTAATTTTATTTTCGTTTGTCAAGCATGTGTAAGAAAACAAGCATAAGTATGGATGTAACATACTTTTTTTTTTGACAATAACACCACACACACAGAGGCACACTTAATTATGCTTAAGTGAAAGTCTGCTGTCGCTGGGATGGGGGTGATTTTATTATACTATACTAATTTGATTCTTTTTATTAGTTTTATTGTTTTAAATGTGGTTTTATATTCTATAAACCGCCTTGAGTTGCATGCTGTGCCACTGCTGTCTTTAGAAATAAGTTTAGGAGAAAAATACTACAATTCCTTTTCCAAACTTTAAAAGAAATAAACTTTGTAAAAAAAAAAAATTAATCCCCAAACTGAAATTGTGCTCACTTTATTATACCAGTAAAACTTACTGTCTATCAATATCTGTCTATCAATATCTCAAGTTGCATAACTGCGTTCTGTAGTGTAAGTAGAAATGTATATACTGTACTATAACGTTTATAACAGCATAGATGCCTTTTGTTAGTGTTCACTGCTCTTGCTTTTGATACATGTGTGTCTTTAAGTTGCCTTGTAGATCATTTTAGGATGAGCTGTCCAGAGTCCTTACTTTGAAAGTCCATACAGTACAAGACTTTGTTAAGAACCCTTGTTTCTGTTTTCATTGTCCACTATCTGCACTGTGTTGCAATTCTTTGAACAAAATCCCTATCCTATTTTAGGAGGGTCTTCATCATGGATGAAACAGTAGCAGAATATATTAGAAGAACTGTGCTGCGAATACCACGTTCAGAAACATCGAAAATGCTGACTTCATGGGGGTTTCTGTCTGAGACTCAACTTCAATCTTTAAAAATTCATCATTTAAAGGAAAAAATATCTGAAGCAGTTGTTGAACTTTGTGAGGTAAGAGCAAAGTGCAAATGCTTTTATGTCATACCTTTGAATACACACACACACATACACACACACATTATAACAAATAATATGTGATAAAGATGAATTATCTGGAAAACGCAGAATTGCATATGTTTACAACTGCTCTTAATATGTTCATAAGAGACACTGAACAATATTGTTAACTTTATTTTAGCCTGATATTTCTGCAAAGTCAATCTAAGTTATTTAGCTTATACTTTATTCTGGTGAGCAGGGTAGCTAACAATTTTTAAAAATATACTAGTTGGACACATTTATCGGTAGTGACCTTTTTGTATAAATTATTTCCCATAAAAAATAATAAAGTCAACTAAATTCTGAACTGACTGAGTGAATGAAAACAAACTTTCCTGAAGTAGACAATTAATGATATCTAACAATCTTGAAGTCCATAAAATATGTAAAACAGAATCTCATTTTTAAGGACTAATTGCAGTGAATGGATTCCATTATTTTGCAACAGAGATTGTAAGTATACATTATTTCGGTGTCATTCACATAATGTCTAATACAATTCTGATTAATTTCACTCAAAAATTAATTAGATTGAGACAATTTAAATGACATTCCCCTACTATATATTTAACTGGTTTAATACCTTATAATACTCAATATTGTTCCAATCTCAACAATATTATATTACATACAATTGTAATATTGTACATAAGTTACGCTTTGTCTTAAAGGAGAACCAAGCAACTATCAAAGATGCAGCACAGTTGGACTTAATTTGTAAGTAGTCTTTTATTTAAAGAGAGAGAAAGAGTAAACACTTTTTTTTTAGTCTAAATCAATTATATTATAAACTAAGTTCATTTGATGGGACTGATTTGTATCCTTTCTGTGATACACTCTTAAAAGCAGCTTAACTTTTTTAAGAATAGAAGATTATTCTTGTTTTCACTGCATAATATTCCATTGTTAAAGTAAATGTTTTAGTAGAAGATGGAATGGGCTCCTCCAATCCATTGTTGATAATTAAATTAATCAAATAAACGATTCCCAAAACAAATTGTTACTGCAAATTAAAATCCAAATTCTTAATAGATAAGAGGAATTGTTCTAATTGCATCATTTATTTATTCAGAGATAATACAATGAGATTTGCTTATTCCCAAATAATAATAGTCAGGATTATGTTGGATTTGATACCCACATTTTATATGGTTCATACTCTAAATCTGAATTTTTAGCTAACTAAGGAAATAATTCCCTTGGATTTGATTTTGATTTTCAGCTTGTTAGCTTTTTCAAAAAATAGCACCATTTCTAACAATTTCACGTATTGAAAACACATACTTTAGTGTTCTGTTGGATGTTACCAAAACTTATTTATAAGGAGGTATGGATGTTTATATCTTCAAAGACAATGTGTAAAGAATAGAGATTAACTCCAATTAATGTGAAAATTAGTTAAATGTAAAAAATAGTAATACTGATATTCCTGAAATTCATTTTATAGGGGAAGGGCTTTGTCATGATATTCATGGAGTTTTTATTAACTTACTATATTATTAAAGTAGAAGCCACTCAGTTTGTAATTTTTTTTAGACAACTACATCTATCAAGACAAAAAGAATTGGATTGCTTACCAAATGACTAGAGAAGGTAGGAACCCACAACTTACCTTTATTCTAAAAAGTTGACATATTTCAATATATTTAATTGAAATGTCTTATGTTTTAAATTAATATAGAACTTTCCATCATGTTATTTTGAAATCTTTACAGTTAGAACAAGTTTTTTTCTTAACTAAAATAACCACATTTTCATTAGTACATTTGATTCATCAACCTTCTGTATTAATCTTCAATTAAATTGATATTAAATGAGTTAAGTGATTAAAAAACGGAGTGAATCTCCTTTATTACATGTATACCTTCCTTTTAGTGACTTCTAGTGCTCCTGAGAACCAATGTAGCCTATTGGTTGAGGTTTAGAATCAGGAAGACAAATTTCAAATTCTTCAACCAGTCACATACATGTGGTCCTCAACTTACAATCCCAGTTGAACCCAAAATTTCAGTTGCTAATAGGGACAGTTGTTAAGTTAACAATGTGGTTGTTAAGTGAATTTGACTACCTCGTTGACTTTGCTTGTCAGAAGGTCGCAAAAAGTGATCACATGACCCCGGGGCACTGCAACCGTCATAAATATGAGCCGTTGCCAAGCATCTGAATTTTGATCATGGGACCATGAGGGTGCTGCAATGGTTGTAAGTGTGAAAAACAATCCTAAGTCACTTTTTTCAATGCTGTTGTAACTTTGAACAGTCACTAAATGAATGGTTGTAAGTTGAGGACTACCTGTACCCTCAATTGAGCCTACTTGAAAGGTTTGTGAAGATACAATGGATATTTTGGTTTTCCAAAACCTTTAGCTTCTGAGAAATAAGGGAATATAAATCAAATATATATATACATACCGGTATTATTGTGATATTAAACTGAAAGAAAATGCATAGCAGAAAAAGCAGTGCATTCGCCAAAACATTGAGTTAAAAATACTCCACTGTAAATCAGATTTTTTTCCTATTAATAAAACTGCCTAGAAACTTGTATTTAATTTCACAGCCAAAGAATAAAAGAAGCTTTTGTGGCAGTTCCCTTCATATTTATGCAATTTCAGTGTGGCAGTCTTCTTGTTCTAAAACAAAATTAGCTGTTGTGTGATACTTCAAAGATTGAAATATTAGTTATGTCATCCATCAGCAGTCTTCTGCTTGGCAACCTCCTGATGTACTGACAGTTTTGGAGGCCCATCAAAAATATGCAATAGTCCAAAAATATCTAGAAATCATCAGGTTGGTGAAAGTTGATTTGTGTAAACATGAATGGACTTGAATCACTTTTGTCATTGTTAAAAGTAATGGAAAATTGCAGCCTTCAGTGTAAAAGTAACATTTTACTTTATTTTGTATAAGATATGTTGTGTTAAATGATTTTATTATTTGCAGATGATGAAGATGCGGTCATTTTTAACTGGACAACTTTCAAAAAGAAATTTAAATGCACTCTGCTATCTGTTTTGAAAAATGTAAGATTAATCATGAAAATATTTATTCTCTAATTCCAAGAGATTATACTTAGCCTATTCTACTAAATCATTTAAATGTAAAACAATTTGACATTAAAAGGACATTCATTTTTATTTAGAAGTGATCCTTATCATCTGAACTGTGAGGAATAGGTTGACCAACTAAAATGAACTTGATTGTAACAATCAGAAGCTATGAAATGTAGTATATATCATTCTATATGTGACCTAATAGAACTGATATTTTAAAAATAATGTAACTGTTCACGATAGCTGTGCAATAGTTGGATAAATGGGCTAAGCATTTCTTAAACAGTTGCATAAGCCATAAACAGGAGTGCATATATTATTTTAAACTAAAAGCAAAGCCAATATGGCTTTGTCTTCTGTGTAAGTTAGGATGTTGTGTTTGTTTTGTCTATAATGCATATGTGAGAAACAGTTATTTATTTTTGCAATATTTTACTATGGTTTAAACAAGCCACCGGAATTTT